GCCCCTCTGCCGTGGGCTCTGCAGGTGGGGCCGGATGGGCCGCTGGCAGCCCGGCGGCGAGGGGCCGAGATGCGAGCACGGCGCTCCCGGCGAGACGGAGCCGGCTCCGGCGTTATGCTGCGCGGGTGCGCCCGGTCGGGCGGAGATTTGCCGCGGATCCCGCCCGGGCTGCCGCATGCGGGTCCTGCAGCGGGAGGGAGCGGGAGCTTGTGCCCGGGACGCCGGGTTTGGCCGCGTACCCCCCGACCCGGCTGTGCGGCCCCTTCGCCCTCTGTATTTCCTGAACTGGCAAACACCAACAGATCCCCTGCAGCCAGGGGCAGCTCGGGGTTGCTCGGCACCAAGTCCGGGCAGGTGGATCCTATTTGAAGTCCCGCTGCTTCTGCCAAAAGGAGCTTCGCGCTCATCGAGGCAGGATGAAGCCCGTTTTCAGCAGGACTTCACTTGTCTCCCACCGACTAGTCTATAGAGAATATACCACTGCAGAGTGGAGACATTGATTTAATGCCTTGGGCTTGTACACAGAAAATATCAATCGACCGACAGCGATAAGGCAGCAGGTTTCACGTATCAGCTGAGGAGCACAGACCGTGTGTAATGGAAATATTCGGGGCGTGGGTAATAAACGGGTTTAAGCGGACCGACGCGGCTCCAAACCTCTCACAGATAAGGAGCGGAGCCTGTCACGGATACAGCGTGTGCCCCTTCGCCACTCGCCATCAAGATTATATTCCTCCCTTTTCTTCTCGCAGGCAAATGGTGGCTGCGGTGGGCAACGATCCACTGACATAACAGGGATGCGGCTCATGTTCAAAATGCGGGTCCCCGACGCAGAGAGCGCAGCTTTCTGTGATCAGTTTAAGACTTGGCAGTCAACGAGAGGCAGGAGAGTCCCCTGTTTTCTGTCCCGCTCCTAGCTGCCCTGCTGCTGCTTTAATCCTGTGCTCAAGAAGCCCCCGGCCACAGTGCGAAAATAAACTAAAAGTAGGCTCCATAGGAAGAGGGTGCATCCCCCCGCCCCGCAATATGTAGAGGGGAGCTTACGAGCATCTCCTTCCAGGCGGACCGCTCGCTCTGTGCCGGGAGGGAAGGAGCCGGCGGGTGCGGGGGTTTTGCCCGTGTCGGAGGTGGTGTCTCAGCCCCGCGTCCGGGACACAGGCAAAGCGGGGGC